GTGACACACCTTCCTAGCGCAGCTGACTCCATCTATATTGTAGATCACACTCATACCTTTGAAATTAGGCAAGAAAAGGCACATTGGAAGTGGAAAGGAAGATTAGGAAGTGTGAATGGAGCTAAGTATCAGTGTTGGAAAACATTAATTTCTGACACAATACTTTGCCTCCGCTCACATAATAACTAGAATCCCACATTGAAACAGTAGAGGGACTGGTGCAAAATGTACCTAGATGAGCCCCATTCAAAAGGTGACTGAAGAGAACCCATGAGTGACTGCACCTCATCGGTACCACAGTATACTCTTTACCTACAGTGAAGATATGTGTTGCCAATTTGGGTGGAAAAGATGCAATTCCAATAATAGGAACAGATGCGCCAGATGATATAGAGTTGCATCAGACCATTCTCAGTGGGTCCACTCCAGTCCAAAACCAAGCATCATTGGGAAGGTGTTGTCTGGTCTGCTGTAGGACTTATGTTGGCTGGTCCTAAAGTGATTCAACACCAGACTGCCCACGAACCAAGATCCAGGCAGTGGTAGGATGGGGAAAAGCCAGACAGAGGGGTGAACTGCATGTGGTGGATTCTTCCAGTCCAAAACTAAGTGACAACAGGTATTTGTCATCTGGACTGTGGTAGGAGGAGAGTAATAACCATCTACACCAACAGAACACCACCACCCTACTATCTATTGAGTGGAAGAGGTCACATTCAGGAGGCAGCCTCTTTGGTCCACCACCCTAGTACCTAGAAGCTGGTTAGTGGCAAGGATTCCCATATACCACTAAAAGAGAGGAGGGCACAATAAAAAGTCTGCAGGAATGCAAAACCTTAAGACTGTGCAATGGATGACCACAAAAACCCGATTTTTAAAAGCAGGCAAATCCTGACACTGCTTTACTCATGACAGTCCATGAGTTGGAACGGTCTAGAACGGACCTTATTTATGAAGCAATATACCACAAGAAGCCTTGAGCAGTCTTGTGGAACACCCTATCTCATCAGTGATAATTATACATCTTTTAGGTCACCTAGTGTGGATTTAAATTTCAGTACACCTGGACAGGCACCATTTGCCACTAAGAAGGGTCCTAAGATGTAAAAAGAGGTCACTGTAAAAGTGAAATATATAAAAATAGAACTTACCCAATCAGAGTCAATACAGGATATGGAGAATGGTAAGGGGCAGCAAATGATATCCAGATGAGGAAGAAATGGCCAGATGATGCAGGTAATGCACAATGAAGGTGTGAAGCATAATCCCCATGCCAGCTGTATTATCACCTCTAATGGATGATTAAAGTGAGCAGACAGAGGAAGAGAGAGATGATGAATTTGGTGACAGGAAACTTGGAATATGGAACAAGAATTCCTGTCCAACAAAGTATAAGCAAGACGGATGAACTGATGGAGCCAACCTGTAAGTGTGACAGTAGAGATACCTGGTAGAGGAGGAGGAATTTTAATGGATAGAGAGTTGGGAAGTGGAACCACAAAAAAGCAGCATTGGTGACCTAACAACAAACAGCTCACACAGGACAAAGAAGGTGATCGGGATCAGACTTAGAATAAAAATGAGCTGTGGACTGCATGGAAAAAGGTGTGAATGTGTTATTTCCCTCATTCACTGCAGAGATTTTTGGGAAAAAACACAATCAAAATTAAAACAAACACTGGAATGGTGGTAAAGGATTCAGAAAACATCAATATCATATAATTCTGACATCCAATGTCTGCAAGCAAAAAGGAGTAGAAAATAGGTCTTAAGGAAAAGATGGTATAAAGAAAAAGAACCTAAAGTTTAAAAAGGAGGGAGGGTAAGAGCATGAAGTACAACACTGTAATTCCAATATGGGAGGCCAACTGGCTGGGGAGAATAAAAGGGGAAAAGATATAAACAAGAGAGAAAGAACAGGTGAGGAAAAGATGCCAAAAGCTTGAAAAATGAAAAGTGTTGGGCAGTGCCTCCTTATAGCCTGAAATGGTAGAAACGAACAAACCATTGTCAAAGAGCCAGGTGAAAAAGTCAGGAATGTGGGAAATGGTAGGTCTGGAATGGAAAAGCCATGATGCAAAGGCCACTGGTAAATAAGTAAGGAGGAAGAACGAACAGAATGAGAAATAAGGAAGGCTACATGAAAAGAAAGTTCAAAGTATCTTGCAAAGGACCAGACAAATCCCATGTGTGAAGACGGAGTATGGACATTACGAAATAAGGAAGGAGAAAGCAGAAAGGGAGAAGATAATTGTAGTAGGCTTAAGAGTGGAAACCACAGTTTAGCCAACCAGAACAGAGCAACTAGAAAGACCTGACATGGAGCAAACTGAATAAGTGATAGTACTCATGGAAGAAGCTGGGTAAGAGGATAGGCATACAGATAAAGATCACACTAGTCCTGACTGAATGCATCACATCATAAATTGAATGATGCACAACAGGGGACCAAAACAGAAGATGTTTGGTCTTGAGGTGTGTTATAAACACATCCAAAAGGGGGTACCCAGCTGAGAACATAGCCACTGGAACACCTGAGGATTAAGAGAGCACTCTGTCAGGGAGAATCTTGTCAGGATGAGACAGACGATCTGTGACCAGATTCAGAGCATCCTGGAAGTGATAGGCTATAAGTTAGGCCCAGAAAAAAAAAAGAGATTGAGTGCCCCCTTGATGACTGATATATGTGGCAACTGTTGAATTGTCGGAATGTATCAGGATGAGGTGCCCACAAAACACAGGGATGATCCAATGCTCCAGCCAATAACTACCAGATATTGATATGGAGAGATGATTTTACCACATACCAATGACTGGCTATCTCTTGATCATCCAAGTATGCCCCCATCCCATCAAAGATGCATCTATAACCAGATGAAAATCCAGACAAGGAGAAGTTAGAGGAACACCAGCCGAGGTGTTGTCTCTGTTGAGCTACCAGGCAAATTTGACCTGTAGGGAAGGTGGATGGCAGAGTCCAAGGGATCCCGAACAAGATTCAACTGATCATGCAACACCCACCGAAGACAATGTATGTGTGCATGACCCTAAGTGATGAGGACTTCCATGGTAGCACAAGTTCCCAAAAGAGAGAGAACCTCATATGCAGTGTGAGAAGAAGTAATGGCTTTGGACACCAAGTGTTCCATGTCTCACAAATGAAGAGGAAAAGGCTGGGCCCTGCTGAGATAGAAGTTGAAAAACACTCCCAAATGGATAAGTATTGAGTGGGGGTGAGATGTAACTTCTCCAGCTTGACAAGCCATCTCAAGCGTACCACCTCCTGAAGAAAGAGATGGGTATGTTGTTGAGACACCTGGTAGGAAAAAATCAAAAGAAGCCAGTAGTCCATGTAACGGTGAAACTGCAGTTCCAAGTTATGAATATGACAAGCAAAGGCTCTGACTCTGTGACAAAAAACACATGGAGCCAATGTCAAACCAAAAGGAAGAGCATGGAGTTGAAATACGCAACTCTCATGAACAAACCGATGGCAACGTATTGATGCTGGAGAAATAGGAATATGCAGGTAAGCATCTGAGATGTTGACCGTGATTATCTAAAGACCTGGGGTGAATAAAAATTAGAGATTGAGAAAAGACTCCACAGTGAAACAAAGAAGATTGATGAAGCAATTTAGGCTCAAGAGATCAATAACTGTATACCAATCCCAACTTTTCTTGGGGACAACAAACAGATGGGAATAAAGCTCAGGAAAAGGATAGTGTTCGATAGTGTTCTTCTGCAAGAGATCCAAAATCACCCCTGAAAGGGACTAGCAATAAAGTGGTTCCTGGGAAGGAGGGAAAGAAATGGGAACTGGAGACAACAGAGGAGAGGAGAAACAAAGATTCAGGCCATCTGCCAAAACCTGAATAATCTCACAATCTGCAGCAAAAAGTTGCCATAGATGAGTAAATTAGGACAGCCATGCCCATACTGTGCCAGAACCTATGGGGTAGTCAACGACGATACTGATTGGAACGATGGAAGATCTGACAAATAGAAGCCAAAACATGGAAATATGGGAGAGGATAGGAAGCCAGAGGATGAGAAACAGGCACAGGAGCAGAAAAGGATTGAGACAGATAAGAGATGAGAAAAATGGAGGAATGTTGGCATGTTGCCTCAACACGAGACTCTAAAGAAGCAGGGATATCTCCAAATACTGGCTTGTGAAGAGAAGGAACTAGATGAAGGTCATGCAGAATAGAAGTACGCAAACACACAAAAGTTAGAAGTGCATCTATGCTAGAAGTTCACAACAATAAAGTAACCATGTGTGGAGGGATAAAGCCAATGAAGATAAATGCACCAATGTGGATAAAAATAGGGAACACATATCCATCGAAAAAACCCCAGAGGAACGAAGGATAACTTAAGAAAGGAGACAAATGGATGAAAATGAGGAAGAGTAGCAAGGGTGTGGCAAAGATTGGAATATTAGGCAAGGAAAGTATCACAACCCCATGCCTGAATAAGAGATTCCAGAGTCTGAGTGTCCAGGAAAGAAAACTCAGACATGTAGTAGGTTAAAGCATGTGTGTGTCAGCCAAATATGGGGGATGAGGCATGCTGTCACCTGCCTGAAAATGAGCAAGAAATTGATTGTCATGAACAAACTCAAATACCTGGGGAAAGGGAAAAATAAAATAATCAGATGCTGGGCCAAAATGGAATAGTGAAGAGGAAGAAATGTAATAAACCTGAGACACCATGTCAAGGAAGAATGAGGAAGTAGACTTGAAAGTAGCAGAATAGCAGGAGAAGGAAAAAAGCTGTTAAAGTCATCATCTTCAGGAACAGATTTCCCTGGGGAAGGAAGATAAGACTTTGGTGGAGGGAACACCTCAGGCCACATTTAAGACATGCATATAGACAGCAGCACAAATCAGGGAAAGCTATTATGTGAGCTGAGGTAAGGTATTGTGTCAGAAACCAATTCATTTAAGAATTTTGAGAAAAAGATAATAATTTAAATTACTGAATGTAAACCTTACCTCCATTGGTAGCAGTATGTCTTCGCTTGTTAAATAAACATCGTTGGCAGAAGAAACAAGACACAAGAGTTAACAAGCTAATCACCAATAAAAGACCAAGAGCTATGGCAAGGATGAATGTCTGGCTACCAAAAGAACATTAAAACAAAATGTAAAACTTTATTTAAACAAATCTAAATGAATAAAAAGTTGCTTTTGAGTTGACAACATATCTACATTCTGATGATTATTGTAAAGTAAACCAGAATGCTAGGCTATTCAAGTTCCAGCTCTAGAAAATATCAAAAGGTTAAAAAATATGCTTGAAGTAAAATAAAGTATGAATATATTCAGCAGAAACACATAACAGATTATAATCTATAACATAAAAGCAAACAGAAAATAAAAGGACATAAATAAATATCTGACAGTGTACTCTAAAGAAGAGAATCAATCTTAAAGTAGGCAAAATCAACCATAAAAGCAAAAAAAATCATCAAGGAATACAAACCAAAATAACAACAAGAATAGTTGTATCAAAGCTATAAAACCCTTGTTTAAAAAAAGTATTAATAACTACATGCCACTTTAATATACTTGACACCAATATTGTGTTCATATTACCCAAACAAAATGATCATAACAACATGCTACTGAATCTAAAGAAAATCATGAAATATAATAAATGTGTGAAATTTCTAAGATCTTGGGAATGGCTGAAAATTATATACTAATGACTTACTCAGGTTCAGGACTGTGTTCCCTGTCTCGTTTTGTACAACAGTATTTGTACGTCACTGTTCCACAGCAGTAAACTGGCTCCTCATTCCCCAGACTCGGACAATAAAATCCCGTGTTCCACTTTCCAAAGCTATCAGTGTACCCAGGACAGTATTCCAAACCAAGAACTGGAACATAAATACCTATCAGCTGTAAAATGTCTCAACTACTACTATCAGTAATTTTACAAACAGGAAACTCATAATACTATTTACAGTCACCATCAACACTGCTCTACATAATTTGTGTGTGAGGTGGTGGGGGTTACCTCTCATATATAAATACATACACATATATATGAAAAGAAAAATTTTACTGAAATGATGAAAGCTTAAAGCAAGCCCCAAAAATCAAGGTTTTTTTGACAAAGCACAAGGAGTGTTCTGTTTCCATTCTGAAGAAGCATATACTTGAAGAACTTCTACACACTGATGAAATTTTGAATTTAGTTATTAACAATTATAGCGAACAGACCAAAAACTAGTTATTTTCAATAAATTTTATAATGAATAGTATTTCTTGGCACTTGTGTATAGTGTTAAAATAATAAATAACACACAGCATTAAAATAGGTACACAATTAAAACATGTTTTGACGTTGCGATATAATCTTCAAGAGTGAGTTGCAAGACATAATCATGTCTTATTTAAAATTCAGTCATAGTAAAACATGCACATCAAACACAACATATGGTAGTGTGGAAAAAAACTGTAATATTGGCTCAATCAAAAGATATTATAGCCAATAATAATAAAAAAGATCATGTATTATTAAATACAGATAAAGGTCCGGTGAATATTTATGCAAAAATGTTGGGTGATCTTCTCTAAAAAGTACATGTGGGAATTGTAAACCTGTTCATACGTCACATGACCTATTTAAAAAAAAAAAGGTATAAATATGATATGTTTATGTCTTGCAACTCAGTCCCGAAGATGACATTGCAACATCGAAACACGTAGAGTCAACTTTTTAGTGGTCATATGTTGACCTTAACCCTATCGCTACGGGTATCTTTTACTGCACACAACACAAGATTTTAGTGTCTTACATTCAAAATGTTATTAAACTACTATTTTATTTATGTTATACCAATTAGAATAGCATAAAATCTTAGCTAAAAATCCAAATTTTAATAGTATACAAGCTTTAATTCTTAATTCTACAAGGTAATATTTAAAAAAATCCTGAATTTCCACTAGTGTGACCCACATGACACATTTTCTCTTAGCATGTCATCATCCCTATTTTATCCACCACCCCTCAAAAAAGTATGAAATTAAACGTAAATTACTCTCTATAAAATCATTATTGCTCAAACAAACCATAATTTTTATATTCCTCAATTTTGTTTGGTTACAGAGCTATCAAATAGAAAATCAGACCCCTCCTGCCACATCCTCTCTTTCATAATTTGTTGATAGTTCTCTCTTACGTTTCATTATATATTACCTATAACCAATAGAAAGTCAAGGTTTTTGTCTATCAAATGATGTATTGTATAACGTTATGTTCTGAACAGTTAGATGTCAATTTCACTCAGAGTACTACCAACTACGTTCTCGTGGGAAGTTAACAACTATCTTGGATGAATTTGTAACAGCTCTTGTCACATAGTTAGAAAGCCATAAAAATTCTGAGAGGTAAGGGAATTTGTCTACTTTTTGCATGTTATTAGTCTATATTATTTGGTGTATTATTTAACTAAAAAAAATTATTAAGTGCATTATCATTATTAGTACAAAAAATTAGGGTTAATTCTTTTCAAAACCCGACAGCAAGAAAAAAGAAGATCGGTTAAATATATTATTTCTTATTTCTCATGTTTATTCTTTATGTATAATTATAAAAGTAACTAAAATGTAAAAATAGGGAACATTTTAGGTTTGTTAAGATTAGATTAGGTAAAATAAATAATATTATAATAAAAATGTTTAACGAGTAACCCACGAGAACTGAAGATGGGTAACGTAATTCGTTAGCGTAACTTGAGCCGCACATTCCCCAAGTGATTTACGACTTATAATGGCATAGTTAGACACAGTTCAAAGAGCAATAAAATTTAATTATAAATAGATGTACACTGCTACGAACTCAGAGCTACTTAGGATAACCAAATGTAGTTTCATCTTACAATTTAAAGTCATTCTAAAAAGACAAAAGGGTAATTTAGGTTTATTTCAATTTTTTTTTGGTTGTTATGAGGTCGGTCAAATTGACCAATCCCCTTTTGAGATAAAGTAGAGAAAATAACAGACAAACTATAAAGTTTTATTAAAAAACTTTGAAATGCATTTAGGAGGTTTGAAGGATTGAACAAAGGAAATTTGAAATTTTTGAGATGAGGAAAAGTATTTTTAGTTTTAACATGTAAAATTACTTTGTACATGGACTATTCAAAACAAATACTCAATATATTCATGGACAAAGCTTTATTTTATTAAAAATACTTCACTAAAAAATGTGTAAGTGAAAACTTATAATATTAAGTAAAATGTTTTTAATTGCGTACGTATTTTAACATTGCTTGTTATTTATTATTTTAAGTTTTACAATGATTTTTTATCAGTTCATGAACTGATCAATACAGGTAAGTACATCAAAAAAACTTGTAGACTTAATAAACAGTAAGTTGTCAGGCGGATATTACCCGCTGCTCAATATTGTCTGGGACGGTGTCAAAGACATAATGTTGAAAAAAAGGTGCAAAACGTAAATCCCTGAGATAAGTTGAGGGTAAATTAACAAAAGCCAGAATGGAGTCCCTACAGATAAGGTCCCAATAACAAAGAAACCACTCATTTAACGTCAGAGCCGAGGAAGAAATACAGACGAAAGTGGAAGACAGAAGTGAAGGGTATTGGCACAAAATCCCTCATGATTTCTGTGAAGAGCCTTGGAGAGGAGATGTATAGAAGAAAGATACCAGAGAAGGGTAGTAAGGGTAAGACAAAGGCAAGAATATTGGGCATGTGTGACACTAACATTAGATTCAGGAGCTGCCTAACAAATAGGTAATAAGGAACCCAACAACTGGTGATCCAAAAATGGATATTCCACCTGATGGTAAGCAAGGGCATACTGATCAGAGGCTCTTGAGGGGCACAGCATACTGATCCCTTCACCTAACTGGGAGAGAAAGTGATCCGCATGGATCTGAATGTCAGGAGAGGGAAGAATACCAAAAATGTTTGAGAAGAATGGTCATCCAACAAAGAAGGATGAGGGGAAAGAAACAAAACATCACAAACCTGAGATACAAAATCCGTGAAAGATGAGAAAGGCCTAGGTGAGTCTTCAGGCTGGAACTTGGAAGGAATGGCAAATTCGGGAGAAGGAAAAATACGATCCAAATCGTCGTCATACTGAATAATGTCAGCAGACTCCAAAGGAGCTCGGCAAGGTCAGGGGTAAAAGTGTGACTCAAGTAGCATTCAATCTCCCGACGGACAAAATCAGAAAGATCCACAGTCGGGTTACCCTCAACTGAGATAAAAAGATTGGTCATTGGTGTGACCCCCGAAGTGGTAAGGTTGACTTCGAAATTCATAACTCACAAAAACTACACAAAATTGTCTAGTGCAGAAAAGCGACAATAATAAACTGGGAGAAATGCAGTAATGTATAACCAAAAAGATTAGAACCACTTCAAACGAAAATCAAAAATGTGTTACATAGGATGTGCGAAGCACAAAAGAAAACATCTGTACTCAAAAGCTGCCATACTTTGAAGTGAAGGTTCTGTAGAGGTGTAGAGGAAGTCACATGCGTCATGTGAGCACACTATGTTACTATTACTTAACAGATGATGCATGGTGATTTGCATGAGACACACATTGGAATGTACTAATTCCAGCTAGGGGGGATTGCAAGATTTGTGGCATGCAAAAAACATTTGCATATAGAGGGCAGCACTAAACAAGAATAGCTAATCTTGTGAGAGGAGGTAAGTACCGTATCAGAATCTCTCTGGCAGGTGCACGAGGAAGATACCTACACTGTATGTGGAGGTGAGGTATTGTCTAAGAAAAGAGGTGTTTAATATGTTTACAAATTTATAGGCTATGTATATGTGATAGGACAAAATGGTCACCACCCTCCACCTGTTGTTGATGTCCTATTAAATAATTTCCAAATGTTGACATGTATGCTAACCTAGTTTTTAAACTTTTAAATAAATGGTCCTATTTATTTATTTATACACATTTATCAATCATTTGTTGAAAAACTATTTAATAAGCCTTGGATTTTTGTTTTGCATTCTTGCAAAACTATTCTCATATTGGTATAACACATTAGGCTTATCACTAAAATGAATTAATCTGTTGGTATAAATGTTCTAAAAATAAATATGAGTTAATTTCACTGGTGACAGAAATGTCTTTACCATGTCCTGTTTGACCAATAAAATTAATTCCATCTGTATCTACAGGCATGTCCATAGTAATCCCAGAATGAGCTGTGTGTCTCTTATTGCAAACTTTTCAACAAGTGGAAGTGCTAATGGTGAGAAGTCATTTCTTTAACTTCTAGTATCTCTATTTTTAAAGTGATTCAATTTATTGTGTATTTTGCTACAATACTTAAAAACAAACTTCTCCACTCCACTTGCAATATTTTAATTTTCAAAGTATTTTACCATAATGACTGAAACATGTTCCTAAGCTTACAATGCTAACTAAATTACTACATACAATTTATTCTACATCTGATATGGCCATAAATTTTTGCAGTAGACAAATAGGGTGTATATTAGCACTCCAACCACAAATTTGGCTCCACTTTTGACCATGACTATGAATTTTTGCTTTCTGGTCACATGATTGTTTTGAGCACTGCTATGAAAAAGAATAACCAAGCTCCAGGATCTGTTACGAGGTCTATAACCAAGTTCAATATGCCAGAAAGATAAATATATATGTGCTCTTTGACTGCACATTTTATGGTCAACCAATGTTTTGATAACAATTTTCTATCATAAACATGATTCTTGCTCATGAGTGCCAAAATGAACCTACAATTCAAGTTTCTAAAAATTAATAACAAAGAGCAACATACCTTCATGGTCTTTATCTGACAGAAGACGTACTTCCATTTCTTAATGAAAATCCACACTTATCGAATATACATTTTTTGTTCAGGCATCTCTCATAAAAACAAATGAAAAACTGAAATGTACAATAAAACATCTCACAGTTCAAGCCACTTCTATTCTGAACTACTAATTGCAATAAAAACATTACTTTTCACATTTCTAATTGCTATTTTATCTCAACATCATCTAGCAAACTAAGTATTCTAAAGTATGATGTAACATGTCCAAAATGATGCTTCAAGTATTTCAGTTTTTACAAAGTTTGAAAAAAAAAAAGAATCTGTTTCAGTCAGTATAATGCATATTGCTTTTATATCTGTAACATTCAATCAAAGGTAAGATTTTCAACATATTTCAAACTGTTTAAACTCTTTTTAATAACAAAAATAATATGCAAAACATTTTTTCCCAGTTATTCAATTGAAGAAAAACAAACAAAATTCCAGATAAATATACATAAAAATATATGTGTTCTAAAAAGTTACTTTTTAAAAGTTTTTTCCATGTTTGGTCTACTTATTGTAGGAATTATATCAATCTTCTGGACAAATTATAAAAACTACTAGAATGATAACTGGTCTAAACAACTGAGTCAACTAATGAAACTTATACACTGATCTGAAAATGATTTGATTACTTTATAAAAATATCAAAGGTTTTATTAGATTACAAGTGGATATCTCTCAGATTATTGGACTAATAAAATTAGCAATCATGGCCTTAAAATATAAAAAAAATACACATAAACACTGTAAACCAAGCACAGAATTTGTTTTTAGGTAGACATATTTCTTTTGTAAAAATATTATATTGTAAAATGGTTTGTCTACATTGATGATGCTCTGTGAGTTTGCAATTTGGATATTAATAAGTTTAGGTGGATAGGTTTATATGTGGATGCGAGCAAATATGTGTAATATTAATATAACAATATACTAATATGCCTGACTGTAATATAGCATTAAACCTCAGTGATTATGACAGAGGTAGTAAACTACTTGTAACACTGTGATATTTTTGTAAAGAATTAATAGTACATAAAAGTAAACATTTTGTAATTGAAAGAGTGTTAATTTTAAGTATCAAAATATTCACAATAGTATAAAATACACTTTCAAAAAGTGAATTTCAAGTAAGTAGTTAGTCTGAGAGATCATATTTACGTATGTAAAAGCAATACTTCACGTTTTAATTGTACGGCAATACTTGGCCCTCATTTTTGAAAAAAAACACTACCCTTATCAGCAACAATAAATTATTAGTATCCAACAGTTTTAGAAATATAACCACCGAGTCTTGATACAAAACTGTCAGTGCTAACAATCATTAGCAATATAATATTATTAGCATAAAAGAATATATACTACACAATTTTTCTGAGGAAAAATCATAATTTCTCTTTCTTACCTATGTAGTAAAAATTAATCGAAGTTTTACTTTCATAAAACAATCGCTAAATCATAAATTGGATTCATAAAATATAAAATGGGTTCAACTACGATTTTTGTGTTATAACATTAACATGGAATGCTACATTCGTTGCTTTTCTTTCACACGAAAACAAGTGAAACGCTTATTTATAATCTAAACGTTATGGTAACTTTGCTTTCTCACCCAGTACCTTCAAATTCAACTTTTATTGTAATTGCATAAAACATTGACATGAAACTAAGCTTGCCAAAGTTTTACACTAGAACAATAACAAAATAGGCTTAATGTGTTTTGTATTCGCTCGGTTAAGCCTATTTTCAGAGATAACAAGTGCAATATTACTTATCGATTAATAACTACTGCTATATTCTGCAGTCATCAACAAAAATATGCCTCTTATTCTTTTTATTTATGACAAATTTGTTATAAAAAACGACGGGTTTTTATTAAAACACGAGCTAAATCATTTATAAATGTTTAAATACTACTTAACATTCAACATTTCCTCACTTTTCAATTTGTCTTCTATAGCGCCATCTGACGATTACCAACCAAATTTAAATAATCACTTAGTATCCTTTATACCGTGGACTAAAAGTTGCCAATTAAACTCAAACATTATATACTTTAGATAAAATACAATAAGAATAGATACGATTTTAATTTATATTTGAACATTCTTGCCCTACAGATAAGAAGAATCTGAACGGAATCATCAGCCATTCTTACTATAGTGTGAAAAAAAAACAACAACATCATCTGTCACACAATTCATAAAAAATAAAGACGCATATTGTATACATATGTTAAAGATTTCTTTTCTTTTTCACCAGAGGTGAAATTGAAAAGAGAATCTGTGACGTAGAGGCCTAATGCATTCTTTGATTGGCCGTATGGACTGCAGTTTCGCTATTCAAGGCTCATAAATACAACTTGGGTCAGTAAACCAAAGAAATACCATTAGGTCTCTTATAATAACGAAGTTTGTATATAATCTAATAAAAAAATAACTTAGATGTGAAAAAAGGTGCGACCAAAATAGGATTGGGCGTGCGATTTAAAGGAATGAAATCAAAATTGACGGCCAAACTAGTAGCTATACTTATAGCATTGATAATAATTTTACAGCAAATATTCATTCACTAGTTAGCCAGGCCGCGTATTTTGTTTTACCCACCATGCTAACTAGTGAATGAATATTTGCAGTAAAAATATTATCAATGCGATAAGTGTAACTAGCAGTTTGGCCGTCAATTTTAATTACATTCCTTTAAGTTGCACACTCAATTCTTTTTTGACTGCACCTTTTTTAAGACTTATAGCTCACGTGATTTTTTGCATAGGCGTGCACAAAAATTTTGGTCAGGATTGAGCGGTTTTTTACTGAATAACACACGTGGCTTATATTTAGACAAAATTTGACACCTAATTGTAGTTTGCAAAAATGAATCAGTGTACCAAATGTGAAAAAAACAAAAAAACATTAAAGTTAAATATGTTTTTCTATCATATAAAGTTTTCGTACTTTCGGTGCGAAGAAAAGAAAGGGATTCAATCAAAATTGGAGATTTTATATCTCGTGTATTTCTTATGGTTTATCTTGAAATTTGGTCGCCTCAGTCACCAAGCGCCAAACTCAACCAGCAAAACAACAAAAACCATCTACTTCGAATCGGCAAGAACTTCGCCCTGCCAGCCTCGTCGCTTTCATAGTCGACATTATGTTTGATGCTGCTAACCCAGAATTCGACAGGGCTACCTTCCTGAATGTTGTCACCCAAGCAGCCCACCAACACCTTAATGTCCGGGGAATTACACCAGAATTAATCGACAAGCTCATCTCAAGCAGATACCCTGTCTATCAATAATGGGTAAGTCACCAAATTCTTTAACTATATTACATGTCAACATTCAACTACAAAAAATACGAACTACTTGATCTTTGTAATAAAATAGACGCCTCAGTTATATCTATCAACGAAAGTCTATTAAACAATAACTCTAACTTCCATCTTCCTAATTATAAAATATTTTTCATACCTAAAAGTACCCATACCAGAGGTATAGCATTATTATATGACCACAATCTTGACCTAACTCTCTTCAACCACAACACTTCCACTTACCACGAACACATTCTCTGTAAAATTAAAACCCCATCTCTACCAGATTTCACACTCCTAGCCCTGTACATCTCTCCCAACTCAACCCCTGACATTACATTCCTAAACTCAATCATAACAAAATACAACAATGTAATAATCCTCGGAGACCTTAATGCTTCTCCAAATTTTTACCACTACCACTGCTTGTAGGATCATCGCCAGTCTCACACAACTACACTGTTATTAACAACAACTCCCCTACCTAAACGCATTACAACGGTAATCAAAGCATTATCAATCTCGTCTTAGTTCCACCAGCATTAGTACACCTCACTAGTAACTTTAAAGTACACGAAAACATTGGCGGAGACCACAACCCACTGTCATTCAAAATCAGTAACCCAAACTGGACTCTACGCAATAATCTACACCAGCAGCCCACCACCAATCCCAACTTCAAGAAAGTTAACCGGATCATTTTCAACCAACACTTAGACAACATCTTACCTGCCCCATTAACTTTCGCTAATACCAAAGAAGACATCGAGCAATATTACCACAGTATATCACAAGCCATATCCAAGTCATAGACAAGTTAGTACCCAAAAACCCACACCAATACCACGCCTAACCACTGGTCACTAACTCCTGAAATCCCCAAGCTAATTTTATCCCGACGCAAGCTTCGCAAAGACTTCATCAACTCCAGAAACCCCACTCTGAAGACACAAATCAACTCAGTCAAAAATGATATAGAAAAACAAATTAAGACCCAACAACGCGTAAACTGGAATAACTTTTTCACCAAACTGGACAACCTCAGACCTGACCCATCCACCTTCTGGAAAACTTTCAAAAGCATATGCCAAAAAAATAATGACACAAACAGCATACCTTTGAAAACATCACAGCCTCCACCAACGAACAGAAAGCAGAACTTTTCGCTAGCTACTTCAGAAAAACTTTTGTAACCCCTTAGAATACAAGATTCGACAATAAACATCAGGACCATATTAATATCTTTGTCAAAAATAATGCCACTTCTTTCTCCACCTCCTTCCCAGTCGACACTCTCCAACCCCATACCCCCAGCTCACCTCTAGACATATCCACTCCCATAACCACTCCTGAAGTCAAAATCAACCTAAGAAGTCTTAAAAATAAAGCTTCCAGCGACGACAAAATTCCCAACATAGTTCTTAAAAATGCATCTCCCAAACTCATGACACATCTCTCCCTTTTCTCTGGCTATCTCCCCATCGCTTGGAAGTTAGCCCTCATCACAGTCATACCCAAGAAAGGCACCCAATCAATTAACCCAAGTGACTTCAGACCCATAAGCCTAATTAACTGCATCGGCAAACTCCTGGAGAAAATCATAACCACGAGACTACTTTGGCTACTAGAAAACAACAACACACTGTCACACATTCAGAATGCACGCCGTAAAAATAGATAGACTGCAGACCACCTCGTCCGCCTAATCAAAATCTCGTTCACAGGTTTCAATAAACTACAGGCCACTGTTGCCACCTTC